TATTATACAGAAGTCACTGTACTCACACCCACTGAATAGCAAAAAAGACTTAGGGGCAGTGATAGCGTTCGATTTGAATTCCGCAAAAACACACATGTAAAATGGGAAAGAGCTGTCGTGCGATTGATTGCCAAAAACTAAATAAGTAAGTATAGGACGTGGATCGGTCACGCATGGCCGATTCCCGATCCGTCAAATAGGTCTGGATCGGCGCCGATACCGATCCGAATATCGGTATCGGTGCATCTCTAGTCTTAAGTCATTTCATGTGTCTGTAACTCTCTGCATCTTAATAGCCCAGCGATTTTGAGTGAGAATGACCCAGGATTCCCCAGAGAACTATTTCATTCAGTTCAATTCACTTTATATAGCATCTTTCCCATCCTGGTTCCAACAAATGTTGTTAACAAAGAATCAAATATGACTCTGAAAGGTCTTTTACTGAGATACAAACTGACAAATGTGTCATGGCTTAGTTCATCTTTGGTGCAATTACTGTATATCAAATTGTATACAATTTTTAGCCAGAAAGTACAGTTGAAATGTATGTTTGAGATATGTCAATCAAAACTGGGATGATAAGCAGGGAGCTGAGGTTGAGTGACAAATTAAATCACAGATGAGATGGGCTACCTATGCACCTGAATGGGTTGGGCTGCTTTGATTGGCCACTAATACCAGATCTGGTTGTAGAACCATCTGGCTGCAGCTGATGCACAGAAACTCATTCAGTACAGCCATCTATTTGGTACAACCATGAATGCTCATGACACAATTATATCTCATTAAATCCTATATATGAGCCCCCACTGCCCCCATCAAGGAGGAGTGTTGATTCATAAAACATATTTTATATTTTATCAACCAGTAGTTTTCTTAGCAACTAATACGTTTCAGATAGTTCCATCCTTCTCCAGACATTTTACGACAACCCTATCTAATAAAATCACAATTTATTGTCTTTATGAGTGTCACTAAGTTGTTTTTAAAGTCCTTAGAAGGGCCCTTAAAGGAGACTGACAAATGACTCCAGTCGCCAGGCCATCCTGTCGCTGTGTGACAGCGGAGTCAAGGACAACACGTTCTGTTTCGGTAGTGGTGCCCAGGCTGACGCATCTCTTCTTGGTGAAGGAACACGGGCCACCTTTATCGCCCTCATCTTTACAGGCTTGCCTGGTGCCTTCCTTCCGCGGTCGCGGGCCTCATGCCGAGAAGAGTAGAGTAACAAGGAGGGAATCGGAGTGGAAGGAAAGAATTCAGGAAGCGGGTCATGCTAGATGCTGCCGGTTCTGGCCCATGAAGTACCGGTCCAGAGTTTTGATGCAGAAGCCATGAATAAGCATCTGGATTCTGCTACACTCTTTATTCAGGAAGTAGACGCCATGTTCAGGGTCATGCAAATATTGCAACCACAATGTTTGTCATTGACACCCCGCCAGGACCCTCATGAAGTCGACCACAAACACACATAAACATACCACCCCAGCTCTTCTAAGTTCCTAAAAATAATGTTTAGCAAGCAGCTGGAGTTCTCTGGCCCCTCATGTAAGGACAGCCTGGACACACCACTCCAAATCATAAAATGGCATCCCACATAACCCAGGGTCCTTCCTAGATCGTTTTGGTGTTGTTAAGTGGTGTGTTGATTTGATCTAGGACGTATATGACTGAAATAGGAATGTATGACTTTGTTTGTACTCTGCATGCAGGTTTTGAGCCAGCAATGCATCGTAGGAAATTTAATTCCCATCCTCCGCTCCACCCGATATAAATATAGGCTACTGATAACTTTAGTGTGAATAATGGTGAGACCTCACAGAGTTCTTGAAATGGTTCGATCTCTGCAAGCTTTTGGTCTTAACAGACCCGCTAATCTCCACCTTTTGTGGGCTATATGAAGAACTGTATGCACAGTTCGTCTGGATGCTCAGCATATCAATGGATGTGTGTCTTCCATGGCTATCATCCCTTATGGATCTCCCTGTTAAGATGATCTTTACAGTATATACCATATACAATGCTTATAGTTATTTAGAAACTCTCTGTCATGAGGATGCAAAGAGGGAAATGACCCAAAACCCTTACAGTTGTTCTCCTGCCGACACCACTGATCCAAAACCAGTACATCTGACATCTAGCACGAATGAGCCAGTGCTATGCCTAGCTTTGCATGCCTGTCGAGAACTGCATGCACCCCATGAAAAAAGGGAGATGCAAAGCTTGGCAGCTTTACAATTGGGCCTGCTAACTAATGCATCCCCATTTAATTGTCTTTTTAAACATTTTAACTATACTTAAACACTTTACAATGAAGATGTGTTACATGTATTTTAGGGAGTTTTGGCTTAACAGTGTAAATTCCAGATATGCTACAGTCATCCTGGCTGAAAAAAGGTGGATACAGATTTTAGCAGATATAAAATCAGGCCTTCTGAATAATGCAGCCCCAGAATTATTCTTATTATTCTTTTTCATATGCCTTAGGATGAAACAGGGCCACCAGCACATATATTCGGGGCTCTTGTGGCTTAGCTATCATCAGCTCTGCAACGTAAGACATCCCCCATTAACATTTATTTTAAAGAGACATTCAGATTACATTATAATCTGTTTGTCTGAAGCACAAGGGATGCATTACTTGACAGCTATAATCAGTAATTTATCCGACAGAAAAACAATACTTTGTGAGCTGCATGCAGTTCTCAGCAGGCACGCAAAACTCAGCATAACACGCGGGGCTGTACCCTCAAGGGTTTGCCAATTGTACTGTAGGTAATTATACCTTTAAAGCTACAGATATGGAGTCTGAGGAACATTGATGGTACATTAATGCTGTTTGTACCTTTGGTATGTTCCTCAGAGTTACAAGAGTACAACCCCAGTGAGAAGCAAAGGTATAAATTTTTACCCTTCTTTCTGAGACTGCATATTTCCGGACACCATTAGTTTCATTGCCGTTTTATTTATTATTTTGTTTAATATCAATTGTATTAATTCATAATAGCCATGATGGACTCTTATAGAAATAACCAGCATGCAGTGAGCTTATATCATTGAGCTAAAATTAAAGTGATTCCAAAGTGAGTCCAAAAACAGGTGCAAGTTATGCAGGTGTGAACTTTAACCCTAAGATCAGAAATACACTTTGTGTTTGAGGAGCAAGAATTTATGCTCGTCTAATATCTGGTTATTTTCAGACAATGTCCACAACAAAATGAAACTGGATATAATTTAATATACTGCATTTTATAATAAAGTTCGTCACAGATAGGGTTAAGACGTTGGATTTTTGAAAAAACGGGACAAAAAAAAAAAGTACTTTTTTTGGGGGGGGGGGGTGTGATGATTAAACCATTTTTGCAAATGCACTATGCTAATAGAAGCAGGGATCTCTATTGCCTCTGTTACCTGTATTTGTCCTGACGTAGACGCAGTTCACTCACTCACGTCGTCCCCTTCTTGCTTCTACATTAAATACAGATTTTTCGATGAGTAAATACATATTGTCTAATTATAATTTATTATAAAACCTAACCCTAATATGTCCGAAGGTATACTCCCTTCAGCAATGAAAACATTATTATACGTATTGTAATAAATTATAAACAACCTTTTAAATTAATGAATTTGGACAACCTAACACTGACATTTCTCACCTCAGATAACTTAAGCCAAATATTAGAATCGTTCAATAGGAAGGTCGCTTACCTCTCCTCCTATTGGACAGTTTTCAGTTATCGCGTTTGGCTTAAGTTGACGAGCTAACTGGTCAGTTCTGCTTTGTACAATATCCCTCAAGTGTCTTTGGTTCTGACTTATTCATTCAGAAAAGTTTTCTCTTTTCGCCCCCTCTCAGTTGTATGTTGTAAATCGCTTTTTCATTGACGTGGATGTGGATGCGCGTGGCAGACCGCGCAGTTGCTAGGTAATAAGGTAAACTTCCCATTTCTGCTACCAATCAAATAAAAGTATAGACTTGGCCAATCGTCGCTGTGTTTTACCCGTTTTAACCGTTTACGGACACAGGATTGGATATATAAATATGATCGGAAAGAAAAAAAGAATAGCGGTAGAAGGAAACCAAGTGAGTCTTTATTTGAAGCTACGAAGCTCTAAATTAGATGTACATTTTCGCATAAAATCGGAACAATTCATGTCCCGTGAAAGAATATTAATTTTCCGGTACAGCTGCTCAAAAAACAATCCCGGGGAACCCGGGACAGGTGGCAACCTTAGTAACAGACCGTTTGAAACCATGATAGAGATGCCAGTAATGGCAAATCTGAAATAGATTCTTTACCCTTTCACAAATCGAGTTTTCCCCATGAAACTTGTAGGATTATTAACAGAAAGCACGAATCGTGTATTTACATAAAATGCTGAGTAGTATAAATTAAAGTGATATGCTTTATTCAATGACGCTAAAATATTACACCAAAGAACGCCAAAGTGCATATCATGTATCCAAATGTTACTGATCCCATTCAGCTGAAGCATAATTACATAGGTCACGTATGACATCCTTGAAAATCAAAAATCTACCATTATATGTCAAGATTTCGTTTGATTTTTTATTTTAATACTTTGTAGTACAGATCGATTGTGATCACAAATGTTGCTCACACTCGAGCAGCTACAAAACCTCTAACAGGCGTTTGGTTTTTGTTTATTTCAGTGTAGACAAAACACCAGCAGTAACTTCGAGCCAGCCGGATTTTTCAAGAGATCCCCGGCGTGTCCTATCACCAGAATGGGCTGCTCTATCCAGCATGTCATCCATCAAGGTGTCGGGGTTCAGCGCCATACGAAGCCGGTCCGATCGCCTTTGCGCCGGGAAACTAGACTTCTTCCGGCCGCCGGAGAGGGTGGAGACGATGCGGAGTTTCTGGGAGCTGAAGCGCACCGAACTGGAGGGTGATTTTAAGCAGGTACCATACAGCTGTGGGCTTCTCCCCTCCCCTGTCTGACGAGAAAAACTCTCAGCAGTACGCAGTGTTTGATTTTAGAGGTGCCAGACTCATTATGGTAATTGGATGAAGTATCTTGAAATACGAAACGAGGGAAAACTGATTTTCCCTTTCCAGGCACACTGCAGTGCAGTTTTCTAGACGAAAGCTGTTGGCTTTGTCAGACACCCCAGGGTGTTGTGATATTTTCTTAACATTGATTTGACCGAAAATCACTGTAAAAGATATAAAATAAACACTATATAATAGCTATTAAAATATAGTGTAAGTATATTGGTATAGCCAGGTGTTTATAGGGTCAAAATCGCAACGATGTAAAAGGCATTCTTAGAATGTAAAAAATCCGGGGTTATGAGACTTAGGCACGTGTCACACTGGACGCTAATGTTGATCTATGTGTGGTGATGGGGCGCCCCTTTGTGGATGATTTTGGCAACGCCGTGTAAGGGTTGTTTCAAAATTGCTTGAGAATCCTGGCGATGCATAACTGCTCTGAAAAGCGGTTTATTTTAACTATATTGTCTGTAGGAGTCTGCTTATGACGTTCCTGTCTAAAATGATTTTTATCAGCAAATGAGGGTACATTTGCAAGTTTATTGGTTTGATTTTTCAAATCTTTTTCTCATTTGTGGGCTATACTATACTGTACTGTACTATACTATAGTATACTATACTACACTACACTATATTATATTTACATGTAAATCAAAATTCTAATGTCTCCTTTGTTGCTCAGGAACTAATGATTTGTATGGTCAGGTTATATATTTAGTTGTATAAGTAATAAGTTTGGCTTATATAGTGACTTATAATACTGCACAACAGGCTTTTAGTCGTGCCAGAAAAATGGAATATTCTGAGTGCTACCTTTTGTCCTGTGTACGTGGATGGGTGGAAGGAAAATCCAAAAATGATTCCCTGACACCTCCCAAAAAAGGGGGTGGAATCATACTTCTCAAAAATAACCTGTGTAAGTTCAGTGCTCACAAAAGGAGCTTTTTATGAGCAAATTTCAGGGTTGAATAGGTTTAAACAAATTAGCTGGCATACCAGCTAACTCTCTAGGACGCTACATCCCTACAGGTAATGAAAATCTGTTCTTAAGCTTTTCTTTGTGCTGTCAAACCCAAAACTTTGGTACAGAGGGGGGAAAGATCCAAGACCATATAAATTAAAAGACAACAAAAGACTGGTTAGTGATCATGTGAAACCTTTGTCATTGTGACCATTGGCTCACCCAAGTGGGAGCTAAGGGAATGTACCCAATGAGATGCAAGGCTGCTGTCCAATGAAAACGGTCATGTGTTGCTAAGTGACGATCTGAGCTGTAACCAGAGGAAGCAGTATATTTAAGTCAGGCTCCAGAGACCCGATATTCAACCTGGTTCCGTGCTTTGTAGAAACAACATCCAGTGGCTCCCAGGGTCTGTATCCACCTAGTGTCCAGTGTTTTTAGGGATCTTCATCTTGACAGGTGAAGACCTTTAAAAGAGATACCGTTGTTATTGAACCTTAAAGTTTTCGGGCTGAGATAATTTGCTTAATAGCATAAAGTACAGGCAGTCCTTTCTATATCCTTATATTTACATGTACATCTTACACTGTAACTATAAGTTTAAGTTAACTTAGTTGCATGGTTGTTGCATTGCAAGTTCAGCCCAGCTTGCACTGGCAAACTCCAGGTAACCGGATCTGAGCGTAAATTAGCACGGGGTCAGTTGAGCTGTCTTCAGCTGTGAGGCAGTTATCCGTTATCTGTTTGCTGTATGGGCACAGGGTGTCCGTGACAAAACCCTTATGCTTGTTTAACTCCCTCTCACCCGACGGCCAATCCATCCCCCCCCTCCCCAAAGAGGTTCTCTTAATCTGACCTCTGAGCTGCATGAATAACACAGTGAAAATCTAATCTTGGGAAAATGATGAAATGCATCGCACGATCTGGTCTTCAAGCGTGTGTGTAGATAAGCATGAGAAAACACACAACACACACGGACACACAGATATAGACACACACACAGACACACACACATGCACAAACATACACATACATGTATGGGAGTATTTGTGTGCCCGGATATTAAAATACCTGTAAGGTTTCCTTCCGTCATCCTCCATTTTCTTTTCCCATTTTTTGAAATTACATTTCTCACTACATTTCATCGCTCACCATAGCATAAGTCAAAGGCTGTGTTATACTTGGCCTGCAGCGGGCTAATCGTCTGTGTGCTGGGTGCCCTGCATCAGAAGTGGGGGGGGGGGCAACACACACCTGTCCCCCTCTTATCAGAGGGGACATGGCGCGTGTTTCCTTATAGGTCGCTGGGGACGCCGTGTGACCAGAAGCACTGGGCAGCCCCCCCAGCCCCCCCACCCTTTGGGGGCCCCACACTTTCGTAATCAGGCTGTGGCATGCATGCCGTCAACAGCTAGCATTTGCTCAAGCCTGGCAGCCCTCAGCGCCCCCTACCTCCTCCAGCCAGGCCAGCGTCCTCGGTCACAGGGCCTCGGGTGAACCCAGAGGACGGGACTGAGCACGCTCGGGGGAGGAAAACGTGGAAACATGGAGGAATTCCTCATGGACAAGGACATCTGGATCGTGGGCAGTGTCTGCTTGGTGGCCTCCTTCCTCTGGGGTCGGATTTGGACTTTACTAACCAATAACCAGACGAGGGAGAAGGTCGCTCCACCTGACATACAGGTAGGCGCCCCCATCCCCCCCATAACCCATTGCCCAAGGAAAAGCACGGCTCCCAACTGCCTGGGACTGGCCTTGGATGATGCTCCGGGATATCTGTGGTACTCCTCTGTGTTAGCATTCCCACAGCATTAGCGTTAACAGCACTGCAGGCATTTCCATGGCGCTAACTTTATTAGCATAGTCAGCATTCCCGTGGCATTAGCGTTATTAAGATTTATAGCAGTACCGTGACGTTAGCATTATTATGGTTGTTGGCATTAGCTTGCCTTTTAGCATGTGCTATGTTTGCAAGACTTCAGAATATATATTACTTGAAACTTGAAAGTCATACGTTTTCACGTTTCAGATTCACTCATGGAGCACTACCTGCTTACTTGCCTTTCCCATACTGGAAAACGTGATGATTCTATAAGGCTTAATCTGTTTCACAAAGAGACAGGCTTACCTTTGGCATATTCGGTATTGTCGAATAGTCAAAGTGTGTCAGCTTAGGCATTTCAAAATCTTTCCTCAGATCACAATTGCAGATACTAGCATCCAATAAGAGATTAGCAACCTTTTGGAGAACTGAAGAAATCCTTGTTAATTTCATTGTAGTGTTGTTTTTCGTATATATTGTTTTCGAGTATATTTGTATGTTTGTATATGTTCATGTTAAATAGTGTATATTTCTAAAGAAATATACGCTGACTGCTCAGATAAATGGATTTAAATAAACACAGGGCTCAGTGGGTTAGGATGTTGCGGGATCAGAATGCAGCCGTTTCAAATCCCACGGTTTGCAGGGGAATTTCACCATTGCATTTCCAAACAAAACTGTACATTTCCTTTGGCGAGCTACGAGTTTTGCACGTCACTGCAGCTGGTTTGTGGAGTGATGTGGAATGCACACGTGTCCTCTTCCTGTCCAGCCCCGTGAGATTTATCTACGCGGTAGCATCAGTGCTGTTAGCGTGTGGGCGTATGGCACCGTGGCCCATCTTATGCTCCTTTGTGCTCTATAATGTCAGTTAGGGGCAGAACACCTCAGTATCGTTCACACACAATGAATCTTTGTGTCTGTGCTAAAACTTCCTCCACTCCCAGTGATGTGTAAGAGATTTATACAAAGGTGTGAACACTAAGATCTGAGAGGCAGGCAACCTGTTTTTCCCGTATTTTTAGCTGAAAAAGGAATCAATTTCCTTCTTTAAGGGACAGACTTCCTCATCATGTGCCACTGCCTTTCCTAAGGTCTGCCCATGCTGTCAGTGAGGTCTTCCTTCCGCCTGAGATGTGTAATGTTTTTGGTAATGTCCAAGGGAAGGAGATTTGGGTTGTACAGTGTGTACAGTAGCCTGCCACCTCCGATGCACTGCAAGCATGCATCTTGGACCCGTGTTTGTGCCAACACCTTGGAACCAGCTTCGCTGTTAACACCAGCTCCATCTGCATGGTGCGGCTGGAGCACTATGACAGGGTCCATCATCCATGATCAGAGTGTCAGGCAGGATCAGGAATGTGCAGACTGGGGGAATGTGCTGTCCCGGTTGGAGTCAGTTATCCCCGGCATGGGGGAGGAACTTGGATCCAGTATCCGTGGTTTACAAGCGAAGCACTTAGTGCAATTCGTTCAGGGGCAAGCTGGTGAATCAGAGATGGCTGTGAAAACATCTAACATTGAACAGCACTTTTTTTATAAAGCACACTAGGAATTCCCCATCCAGGGGGGGTGGTTGAGTCCTGCCCTGGACCCCCTAGGAGATGCCATTGGAGACCCCCCCTACCCTACACCCCCTCAGATGGACAAAATGAAAGTAAAATAACAGTTGGGCCAAGTGTTCTAACACCCCCCACCATTTGGAGCGCACCCATGGCTCTATGTCATCAGCGTGCTTATATAACACTGCTGAACTCTCATTCTCTCAGTCTTGTGCTGAGTGAGTCACTTGCCCCACCCACCTCCTGCCTTGGGCTTGTAGACTTTCCCAATGGCCATTACCCCCCCCCCCCATCTCTCACTCATTCAGCAATCAGTCTATAATTCAGTCATTTATTCACTTGGTGACTCATTCACAAATGCATGACTCTGATGGGGCCAGAAACAGCCCCGTCCACACAGATCATAAAGCAAACACGTTTATGCATCCATGACCCAGTAACACTGTGAAACATTTTTGTATGTATTTTGCTTCTATTTATTCATATTTTGAGAACGCATTTGACTGACCCTGAGATTTGAACTGACAACCTTCCAATCACAGGCACAGCATTCTAACCCGCTGAGACACACACTGCCCTACAGCCTGTTTGGTCAAATACATGAATGTAGGAGGGCGTGAACTTTCTGGTTCTAAAAACGGGAAATGCTTCCACCTGGCTGACGGTGAAGGTGCTACTCTGCTTTATTGCCCAGACCGGCCGACTGCTGCTCCTACTGATGCTCACCTGTCTTCAGGACACAACGGTCCTCCTCCCCAGCCTCAGTTGTCTCATATTTTTAAGTCTCCTGTTACGGCATCGCAGAATCAATGCCACGAGACTCCAAGCCTCCACGTGCTTGCAGACGCCAGTTCGCTGGGCCAGTTTCACAAGCTGTCAGCACTTAGCTTTATTAAAATGTTTAAGGAGAGTAATAAAAAACGAAATGGTAAGAGCGAGTGTGTTATAACACGGGAACAAGCCCAGCTGCCGTGCGAGAGACCGGCACGTCCCAATCGGGTTTGTTCCCCTGGAGGAACGCCTGCATCACACACTGCTTCCGTTTAATTCTCTGGAGTTTGTGTATTATATTTTATATTATAACATATTTTAAATTCTTTTCCTTTTCCCAATTTCATGCACCATTTCGTTTGAATGATGTAGTGGTGGATTTCTGCACACTCTTGTCAAGTGTCTTGGGGTGACTGTTGTAAGGCGCTGTATAAAAATTAATTGAATCGACTTTAAAACTTAACTGTATGATTTTATAAATATGAGGGAGACATAGGTAGCAGCGATTTGCTAAGCAATAAGAAAAATGACATTATCCTCCCAAAAATATGGGCTCTAATATATTCAACAACAACAATCATGAAGGTTTAAATAATGTATATGCTATGATCAATAATGTATTACCCATTAAGCTTGGACAGCTGTGTAGTTCAATGACCTCATTATCCAGATCTGAACAACCCAGGAAAAAGTAAAACCACAGCTTTGTGGAAATATTATGGTTCTCAAAATGAATAGGTATTTAATTTTATATGAGGTTGCATTGTGGTTCAGTAACTTTGAATTTTATTCAACCTCTAGACCTGTAAATCCTTACAGGTATTCAAAAAATTGTGCAATATTTCAACTTGTAGAAACTGTAGTTTCTGAACATTATAAATGCTGAAACATAAAAACGACAAAACAGGCAGCCTGGAAGCCTTTCAGACCCAATGCAGATGTTTAGCAAAGCACCCAGCCTCCCGAGAGAGTTTCTATTCCTGGCCATCACTTTGCTACTCTGTCTATTCTCTGAGCACAACATGACACATCAAAATAGATTCTCAGTTCTGCTAACCCTGTGGACCTTCAGATTGAGTCCTGTCCTTGTAGCTGATGGATGATGCCACAAAACTGCTAGCTGATTGGCCAAACTATAGTTCCACCCCTCCCTGTTATTGGCTGACAACCATATATTTTTCCTGCTCTGACACATGGCACGTGCCATCTGGCTGCTGCTTTCTGATTGGCTCTTTAGCAGGCTGAAGGATACACAATGTGGACGTCTGACTGCCTCGATCTGCCTGCACCCAGTGATAAAAACATAGCCTCAAGGCCACTAACCTCCTCCCCCCAGCAGCTCAGAGTTTGGTATATCCCGCCGCATTCGAACTGTAAGAACCAGAAGTCTGTGACTTCTGCAGCACGTGAGGAGGACTGTGGAAGGTGAGGGTTTAAGATCATAATCCTAATTAATGAGATGGGCCACGGAAAGCTCATCAGGACAGTATGGATGCTACTCTCTGCCGTTTTTCCATTCCTAACAAGGCAGTGGAGACTTTGCTATTTGGCAGCATCTATTATTACTCTGGAATAAGGGCTCTGTGGTAACACAGTCCAACTGGTCTATGATGGACATGCTAATAGCATTTGCAGGATCTTGGATTACAAACATTGGGAGAATTTGGAGTCAGAATTTAACCCCCTTCCAATGTAACACTATATATATGGGTACAGAAAACATCAATGTGACACTATTGTTATCTCTGTGTCATTTGGGTGTCACTCGGTAGGATTGGTTACCTATTATTGTAGAGTCTGTATCTGCGCTCTGCTTTTGGGAGATTAGCCTTCATATCTTAGTGAGGATGGAAGATGTACCTGAACTTCAGAAACAAAAGGAAACAGAATTGCCTGAAAGACACTGTTCTCGAGAAATCCATGCGCATATCTTATTATGCATAATTTCTAACTACTCAGCAGAATTCTTAAAACTAAGTGATCTGTTCTGAATGTAGACGCTGGTCATCATTGTGATGGCTTGTGTTACAGCATTACCTGATGGTTGCTTGTTGTAACATTATGTCTAAAAGCCCCTGTCTTTATTGTAATGGGTTTTCAAGACTGTCCTTCTCAAAGAAAGACAGTCACCTATCCAACCGTCTATCCATCCCTCCATCCATCCATGCATCCATCCATTCACCCATCATGCCATCCATCCATTTTCTATACCTTCATCCATTCACTGAAATTAATTATACTGAAATCCGTTTATGGCATCAAGATAGACAAGGTTAATTATATTCTCAGCCACTCAGTTAATTAATCAAAACATAAGTGGAGGCAAACAGCTATAAGTGTGAAGGTTTTTGTGAGCCTGAAAGAGTGCTGGAGCTTTGTAAGTCAATTCTGGACTGACGGATTTGAGGTCTTCACAGGGCATGATTGGTCAGTGCTTTTGGTTGAGAAGCAGGCAGAGATCCTGTGTGACAAGCTGTCAGTGGGATTTCAGCCATCATGCATGTTCTGGTCCTGCTGTCACCAGGGCCTCTGCAGTTCTCTCCAATGCCACCAGGGGACTGGCTCTAGTCTGCTGCTCTAGTGTTTGGCATCAGCCACTCTCAGGCAGCAGCCATTGAGACATCTGATCCTTATCTGCTACACTGTAGTCACATTTAGGTCTACACATGTATAATTACAGAGCTGTGTTACTGACAGCTGTGTAACTCATTAGGCAACATAGGTGATATCCTCTGAGGGGGCCCTGACTTAGACGGGGGGGGGGGACTGGTACTGCTCACTTGCATTGAAAAGTCCAAGTAATGATTTTCACTTCTCCATGCACAAGTTTCTTGTCAAAATTCCAGTGCAGGATCAAGCAATTAAGGGAAATGCTGTGGATGGATTTTACAATATATGAAAAATTATGGATTTTATATGGATCTTTTTTGGTTGACTGTCCCATGGTCATGCACGTCCTCATGACCTCTTGTGTGACCTCTTGTGTGACCCGTGACACTGCCGGACCTGTGTCTGTCACTTGGTGTTTTTTTTTTGTCTGCGTCGGCATGCGTGGTCATTTCACCTCAAATTTGCAAATGTCACATGTGACCAGAAGGTCTAAAACACGACCTTCAGAATGAAACTTCTAGCACAGAGATGAGTAATTATTATTATTTTTGTATTATTTTTTTGGCGGGGGGTATTTTGGTGAAATACATGTCCTGAGGAATTTCTTTTGGCACAACATCTCAGTGTGTGACAGTGTCCTCCAGGCTTAGGGGTTCGAATCCTACCTCCATTCTATATGTATGAAATTTCCTCTGGATACTTTCAGGAAGTTAGGCGAATCTGTTTCTCTAAATCATGGTGTGGTTGTGTGTCCTGCAGTCCGTTGGCATTCTGTCCGGGCTGTACCCCTACTGCCTGGGAAAGGCTTCAAGCCCTGTGTTGGATTGCAGACACTGGAGAAATGTTTAGAAGGTTGATGGTTGCATATATATACTGTGAAGATTAATTTAGCAGCTGCTTTTGTTCATCTTTATGAGAAAGCATGGTCAGCCAGTCCCTGGAGCAAGGTTAAGGGCCTTTCCCCATGGGGACGATGGTGAAATTACACTCTCAACTTTGGGATTTGAACCCACAACCTTTTCTTCACAAGCACAGTAGGCCCAACCTACTGAGCCACACACCTCCCACCTAAACATCCTGTGGCCAACAAACAGCATTTTGGGACTGAGATATTTGGCACATCTCTGCATTGCCTCTATCACATGTCCTGCAATTAAGCCATGATGAAGTTGTCCAGTGTCAGAATATTCTAGAAGGTGGAAGAAGAATCCGATACACTGTTTATCCATCTGCCCTGGGTAAATGTGGTCCATTTGTTTTGGTGACATGCAAGTTGGCTTTCTCCTCATGGGCAAAAGGGACTGCAGAATAACTGATGTGCCCCCCCCACCAGAGTCTTGCTACCCATCAGCCCCCTAGGGGGACAGGTGCAGCAAGTCTCTGGCCACCCTGTCCCTATTTGTTTCTAATCCTGTCCTTGTCACCTGTCACCGGCCGGCATTGTGCAAATACTCGTTTCCAAAATAGCACCCATGTTGCTGCAAGCCCTGGCCGTGGCAGAATTGGGGGGCACACACCCCAGCCATGGTGGTGGCCTCTTTTCCAAACCATCCAATAGGCACAAGCGAGCCGCGATGGGTGGCCAGGATTTGCCATCTGCGACAAATCAGGACGCACGTCACTCTATACAGAGAGTCAGGTGACATGGGTCACTTTCATATTTGCATCCCTTTGCATAGGTTTTATATGGATAATGTGGTAGGGTTTATTATTTCAATAACACCCCCCATGCATATCATTTACCTGTTTCTCAACAACTCTCCCCCACCTTCCCAGAATGCATTCATCTCAAATATCCTAAAAGTGGTGTAATATGGGTTTTCACTAGAAGTCTGACTCCAAGCCAGCTTAGAGGCCCATATAAACGGTTTAATTCCCAAGAAGGTTATTCTATCCATCTTCTCTATGTGCTGCATGACATTTATCATGTGATTTTTTTAAACGCAAAATTCCAAACTCATTAGATTTTCCACGTGTGTGGTTGGAGCTTTTCACTTGAGTTTTCACTCACATTGCTTATATGATTCTTCCCGACCCTCCTATTTTGCAAATATTAGTGGCATACAGAGGCTTTAGAGCGATTTCTGCCCTGAGCCCCTACATACCACAGTGAGACCAGCACCTTATGATCTGCTGAAATGTAGCCCTGAATGTCCCCCATACTGTCGTTCGGGATTGCCTCAGGGAAAGCTCATTTTACAGAATCAAAACCAGCTGTGATTACATCATTGATTACCTGTTTTGTGGTGCCAGACAATTTTCAATTTGCAGTAGAACTGAAACGGTAAAAGTTTCTAACAAAAAATGCAATAATGCATGTATCTAATGTATGTGTAAATACCTAGGCAAAAAACTTTATATGTTTCCTCAAGTTTATTAACAATAATGTTAATTGTAATATCACATACAGTTTTTTTATTGCTTTTTTCAAGAAGAAATGATGGAAACTCGCTGGAGACACTGATCAGACCCCATTAGCCAAAACTGCAGCAAAGTCACCATCTTAGTCATTCAGCTGCTTACTTAAGTGGATTTTTTCCTCATAGCCTTTTTCTCTTGGAAACATTAGCAATGATCAAGTGCCGCAAATGATCCAAATTCCGGCACCCCTGGCAGCCGGACAGGGCCTTCTGAGCATCTCAGATATCACACCAGTCATCCAGAACAGAAGCCACCCTACACACACACATGCACATAGACACACACACACACACACACGGAGCCACAGTCACTCATTCGCTGATCCTCTGGTGTAAATGAGACAGGGATGTTGGGAGTGTATGGTTGGAGGGGGTGGGGGGGGGGCGGGTCTTATAGTTGGATCCGGTTGCACTGGACGAAGGACAAGTGACTAACTAAGATCTTAGCGCAGCTCAAACTCTGTCCCCGAAGCTCATTTCTCTGGTGACTCTTCTTCATTGACTGTTTGCCATTTCTGTTGCCTCAGGCCTGATTTTGTTTTTTTGTTCATTTTTGGGACATATAACTTCATGCATCTTGAATTCTTTGATTGTTGTTTTCTTATGAAGTGAAAGCTTTTTGATGAAGTAGAAGGGAATGAATAAATGATTTTGTGAGACCCGTTGAAGTGTTTCCAGCAGATAATCCTCCACGATTTCTCCTTGTCAAGACTCTCACCACCATGAGCTTGCCTTTGGTTAATTCCTTGGCAAAGGTCTACGACCCAAATCCCCTGCAAGGCCACAAACCTCCTCTTGCAAAGACAGCCATGGAGTCTGAGAAGCCACAGGTGCAAAGTCAGAATCTCATTGAGACCTGGATCAAGTCCCTCAGCGAAAAAATGGACTGGCTTCTCAAGGTCCAGGAGAAGGTTCTTCACAGGCTGGATGGCATGTCCCAGGACATTGGTGGCATTGAGAAGGAGGTAGAGACACTCAAGGTAGTCAAGGAAGAGGTCTGTCAGCAGGAGAAGACTGAGACTGAGAGTCCTTCTGATGTAAAAGAGATGTGTCAGGAAATTACCAACATCATGTCCACTGTCAACCAGAGGACAGAGCAGCAAACCAGGAAGCTGGAAGGGGTGGAGAAGCTGGTTCTTGGCCTTCAGCAAGTGATTGGCTTCTTAGGAGCAAAGACCTCCAAGCTCAGCGAAGTAATCTGCATTGGCAAGGTCTCTCAGACATCAAGCGCTAAGGGGAAAAACACTGTAAATACTAAGGCCAAACATGCTGTCAGAAAACCCCAATCAAGCAACAAAAGAGCCAATAAGGTGGGTCACAACAGATGTGCTGGGAATTCGATAACATCACAGCTTATTCTTTGATCATGGTTTGTACACTGTCCACAAAATCTGCAGTAAGTGTATTACCACATACCTGTACAGCTGTAATATTCGAACAGCTTTGCTCTGGCTACCTCTAGTGTCTCTCTAATGGCTGACAAAGTTACCAGTGCTGGATGAGTGGATGCTTCTGTCATATCATGTCTCTGATTACCATCAACAATCTGCTTAACACAGTGGAGAATATTATCCCAGCTGTGGCAGTTGGGTTAAACTGGGCAGCTATTGGCAGTGCATGGTAACCCTGCCCACTGTCGTATTTTTCCAGTGAGTAATAAAAGGCTATATGATGGTTTAGCACTGTCACAGAAGAGCGCAGATTTCGGAACAAAGAGGTGGCCATAGGATTCTGAAAATGTGCCATCATATGAATGAATAAAAGCAGATGTCCTTTTAAATTAAAAGTAAACAAATTGTGTATTTATTTTGTATTGTATTTTATTTTAACTGTGTATTTTCTGCCAGAACTCTACTGCTTAAGCTTCTGAAGTTGGATAGATGGATTTATGGAGGGATGGATGGATGAAAGGATTAGTTTAGTGTGTATTCAATATTCTGTAAATGTATTCATCTTTCCTTTTTTTATACGAACTATTCATACATAACCAGATTTTAAACGATTATTCTCATCTCTTTGTTTATTGCTAATTTGGGGTCCAAGCTCACAGTGCTGGTACCTTATTATATTTGTTAGGATTTCTCTTCTTCTTCTGCACTAAAATGATATGGGCAACACAGATCGTAAGGTGCAGAATTGCCCCCACTGCTCAGGCAAGCAAAATCATACCCATCAGCCTAATGGTGGTGCTACATCTCAGTGTTGGACCTTTGGATCTGTATCTCCAGAACCGTGAGTCATAGAAACAAAATTCTTTATTTACAGACATTCCCTGGCTCATGTCAAAAAAGTTTACTATGAAGCTCCACCTACTTCTATTTTTTGCTGATTTGCATAATGTGAAAAATTTACTTTTTCAAACTCACCCTAAGCCATTCATTTGATTTACACAAAATAAGAAGTGCAACATTGTGAGATATTGTTGACAAAAAGTTGTCCATATGATTTCGATCATGGTATAGACAAATTAATTTCCTGGATATGAACTGTTTGTACTTAGTGAGCTATTTCTCATTAAAGGAACATCCATTTCTCAATAAACTTACTAAGTGTAGTTGATATGACATTACAAGGCGACTCTCCAAATGTCATAAAAGTCACCCACTAGGGGGCGCCATAACTCAAAATAGCTTTTAAGTCGGAAACCATTGGATATAAAAAGATAAGCTGTTTATTGTCACTGCATGAGTACAATGCGATCACGTTTGGATCCTTCTACAGAAGCCTCAGTAAAGAAAGTTTAAGGATTAGGAGGGAAAAAAGTAACATATTCATAACATAACATTCATAAGGGGTCTTTTGAGCCGCACTTCGTCTGGTTCCTCACCCAGGACCTGCTTGCCTTGGGTGACCCTTCCAGGGGCATAAAGCCCCGGGCAACTTAGCTACTGGGATCACTGGAACACGCAAACCCCTCCACCATGATAAGGTGTCGGCTCCAGGAGGCCCTTATATAGTAATGTAGATATTATAAAGCCATACAAACACAAAGTGCTTCCATACCTAATACGCATTCATTTACAGAGATTCTGATGGAACATCTAATGTTAAATGTGGCCAAAGCGTCTATTCATGCCATAGTGGTTGGACCCCAATAATCGCTGCATGGGCTATATTTTGGTATTGTTTTTGTGATTACATCTCTATTTTGTGAAATTATTAATAATATCAGTGTAAGGAATATTTAGAGGAAAACCAGTTTTTACTTGACACCATAATGAAAATGTCATCAGAACAATGTGTTTAAACAGGCAGTCAGCTACCAATAACAGATCCATTTGGCAAATGGAAGGCATGCTTAGCTGGCTGTGAAGGTGTCTGTCTGAGGTGACATTTACTCCATGTTCTGGCAAACGAGTAGAGGAGGATGCAGTAAGCTTGAGACAGGGCTGCCCCCCTTCTCATTCCCGTACGAAGCCTACTGCCTTGTAAGCCACTGGTTCCTAAGACTTTGTTGTTACCTGGTGTGTCTGCGCGTTATCACTGAGGGCAGCTTAGCTACCAGTCAAAGGCTGCTCAGGTTTTCAGGCTTGACATACTACTGCTCACATATGTATATTTTTCTGGGGGGGGGNGCACTGCTATTTGCTTTCAGCTCAGACGGCAGCCATTTCCAATAACTGCTTTGCAGGAAGTGCAACAAAAACAAAACAATAAGTATGTGACCCATGTGTCTTTTAATATGACTGACACCCCACATTCATCTCTGGCAGAGAGTGCTATTCTTGGAGCATGGAGACCGCAGAAAGCATACTGTGACCATGGAGAGCACATTCTGCCCTTGTGGTCATGCAGTGTATAAGTAAACCAACAGCTGAACTTAACCTCACACCTAAACATATTAGTTGATTAGTCACTGGTGCTGTGACCAATATGGGAAGCCGTGATAGCTGATTTAATCAGTCGGTCACTTTTATCTATGCTAGCCACGGTTTCATTTTGTGTAAATTGTGTGACTTTATTGACCCTTAAGTGCAGTGATCACTAAAACTTAGAGATACAGCGAGTGTCATGGCTGTCCTGAGTATGGTATAGCAGTCGCTGGTGCAGTGGGTTCAAGGCGTAACTTAATCTCCTGAGGTTCTCAGAAGTTGTTTGGAAAACAACACAGCTGCACTATACAGTCTGTCAGTAGGTGTCAGTAACGGTAATAACAGACTTTGCTTTGAGCTAGGTTCAGGTTGCTTTCCATAATGTGTTTATCTTCTGACAGTCATTTATCAGTGCTGCTGTTTTTCATATAAATAGCAGATTTTAATGTACAGTGGTACCTCAGAACTCGAATTTAATCCGTTCAGAACTCCGGATCGAATCCTAAAAAGTTCGAGTTCTGATCGAATTTTCCCCATAAGAAATAATGTAAAACCAATTGATTGGTTCCCGGCTCCAAAAAATTACACTTAAATGTTTTTTTAGCATTTAAACACAAAATGAACTGGATAAAACAAGAAGAGCATATACTGTACTAAACACATCTAAGCACATTTATCAAAACAGTAATTTGTAAAGTAAGAAAATAAATGTATCCAAACAATGTGTCCTGCCCCGATCGTCAGCGCTTTCCGTGTGCCACGCCCCCTCGTTAACCCCGTGTGGAATCCCCGTGTGATCAACTGTTTCTGATCGTTGTCATTAGCCCTCTGTATTTCGTCCGCGTTTCAGTTTGTTTCCCCAGTCCGGTCATTGTATTGTCCGTCTGCATTTTGCCTGCCTTACCTGTAATTAAACCCCGTATTCCCGATACCCTGACGTCTGCGCCTTTGTCTCCGTTCCGTCCTGCTCCGCATGACAATATTATTATAATTAAATGTATTAATGGTTTATTGTTAATATTAAAATAATGAATAAGAAATCTTTACTTTTAAATGTATTTTATTATATAATAATAATTACTGTTACTTTCTATCGTTGTCTAAATGTATTTTTACTGTCTAAATATATGTATTCAGCTAGTGTAAATATGCACGATGCTATCACAGCGAATGCAAGACTGAGACTGAAGCGTTACCCTTGTGAAGCGTTACGCTGTGAGACGTGCGGCATGACTCATTTCCCCGCGCGTACAAGTTGTCTTAGGTCGGCATTCACGGTTTGACTTCTGAGATTCAGATCGAGCTCTAGGTAATTTTTTTTTTCGAACTGGTTGGTTCGAGTTTTAAGAAATTCGAGTTCTAATGAGTTCGAGAACTGCGGTACCACTGTATCTGTATCTGCAGGTATGCTAGCCAAACAACTTGGTCTTGTTTCTTGTTGTGTGTTGCGCAAGTGCACCCCCTGGAGGAGAGTACTCTTTAAGCATTCAACCTGTCTTTCCCCTTGGTCTGGTGCATTGTGCCTGGGATAACAGTTTTATTTACAGTACCACAAAATTTATATGCCTACCCTTGTCTCTCAATATAAACACCCAGCGTCAGACTTGTATTTGTTTCCATACCTGTCACTTTTTCTGTTGCCCAGCTGAAAGCCCAGAAATCCAAGGATGCTAAGGAGAAGTCCAGCCCAAGCCTCAACGGTCTGAAGACCCAGAAGAAGAAGAAGCCTCCGGATGCAGGAGGTACAGCACAGCATGGGTTTAGGTGACCTGCTGTTCTCTTGACATTGTCATGTAGCATAGCAACAGAGGGTACAGTACTGTCAAAGACAGTCAAAGAAAACAATCATTGGTATTTTTCTGGGGAATAGGTGTAAATATGCTGGAAAAAATAACAATATACATTAGAACGTAAGCAAATTAGCAGCTAGAGGAGAGGGGACATCTTACCCAGGATGAAGCAATTGCAGGTTAAGGGCTTTGCTCAAGGGTCCAACAGAGAGGAAACACTCCTGGCATTCACAAGATTCAAACCAGCAACCTTCCGATTGCTGGCACAGATCCATAGCCTCGGAGCCACCACTCCACCCATTAACAGTAACATGATAAAAAAACAAGAATTTCTATTGTTTTCCAAAAACTGATATCTTGTTGGATGGCTAGATGAACACCAAACCTCTCCTCAGGGGCACCTCAGCCACTCCATTTATTAGTTAAATTTCACTGCCAGCTCTCAATTAATCAACTTAATTAGTTATATATCTCAATGCGGTAATTGATTAGGAATTAGAGTTCCTGGAGGAGACAACACAGAAAGAACATGCAAACTCCATACACATGGAGCAACGTCAGAGACTTGAACCCTGCTCCCAGTGGTGTGAGAGAACAGTGCTAATTACTACACCACTGTGCCACCCCTTTCACACCAACAGGAAGATCATTTAAACATAATTTTCTCTGAATGCCTAAGACTTTTGCATTGTACTGTACATTACCACTTGATCTTAAGGCCCTGTTATCTGGGAATGGCTTTGTGTGTTTTCAGCAAAATGGTTTAAATAAGGACCTCAGCAGCAGCATATCTTGTAGAACATTCTATTTTTGCATTTTTTGTCTGTCTAAAGTTCTAAACTTATCACGGCTGAACCTACTTGCAGAGTTTTAAAGCTTGCGGTTGTGCTGGTTGCAAACATTGCATTGTGCTTTGTCTGGACCTCAACAGACACCATATCCCTGAAGAAAAAGGCACTCTTGCTGGAAGAGATCCAGAAGCTCAACCAGCAAAATGCAGAGCAGTCTGTGCGCCCAGCCACACCAGAGCTTCAAGACGCAGAAGGAAGTGACTGCTTGCCTGGCCTCATCCCAAGCATTCCGCAGCCATCCGTAGACAGGAGTGAGGAGAGCAGTGCTTTGTCATCGTCAGAGGAGGAGCAGGATGAGGAGGAGAAGGCCACACAGCTGGAGGACAGCCTCATAGTGAATGAGGAAAGAGAGAACGAGGAGCACTTCACTGAGTCAGAACACGAGGAGGAAGTGGAGGATGAAGAGGAGGATGCGGAGGAGGCTCTGGAGGAGGATGAAGGGACAGAGTATGAACTTCAGAGAGAAGAGACTGAGATCACCGACAAACATCTGCCTCTCCCAGCTGCCCTTCCTCTGGAGAGGTGCGTTTCACTCAAGCTCTTATCAACATCATCAGTCATAGCCCAACCACAGGTCTTGTTCTTAAATCATCACCCTACTCAGATCATCGGTTCCCTCAGACTTTTTGAGGGGCGGGTGCTCAAAGCCTTTGGCATATATATTAAGGGGCCACACTATATCTTTACATACAACAGAGATACACTCTTTATCTTTAGAAGGAGGCACTTAAAATTGTTTGGGCAAACTTTGTGTCTTTCAAAACTGCTGCTATCACCCCAATATTGAAAAAAACTGGTCTTGATCATAATAATTATGATAATTTCCGCCCTATTTCAAATTTACCATTCCTTTCAAAAATTCTTGAAAAAATAGTTGCAACACAGATCCATTCTCACTTAACTAATAATAATTTGTATGAACAGTTTCAGTCTGGTTTTCGACCCCTCCATAGCACTGAAACAGCCCTCATAAAAATAACCAATGACCTTCTTATGGCAGCTGACTCTGGTTTTCTTACCATTCTTATTCTTCTGGATCTGAGTGCAGCCTTTGATACTATCTCTCACTCTGTTCTTCTTAGTAGGTTAACCTCCATTGGTCTCTCTGGTACTCCATTACACTGGTTTAAATCATATTTGTCTGACCGCACTCAGTTTATCCAGCTTAAATCATTC